GAAATGGGACCAATCGTTCAACTCATAAAATATGGGGCATATGAAGAGTGATCAGCAGCAGATAGGTATTTTAATCCCGTCCCACATACGGTACATATTTCTCCAATCTCAATCTTTCAAACTTAAAATAATAATTTTGGTTATACATACTACATATGTATTGTGTTTATAAAATAAAAATAATATATTGTTGAAATTTTTTTGACATTTCTATATGAATATTCGAAACATTTAATTTCTGATGTTTAATTGTTATTATTTATTTATCAATTCAAATTTATGATAATCACAATGTAATGAGTTACTCGTTAATTACTCTTTTATGCTAGCATCTCGCCACATTGTTGTTATGACATTAGCCATTAACAACTGTCAAATGCATGTTATGTGACAATAGTGAGAGTCAAAACTAAATGCTACTGGAATTTCAACAAAACAACTAACAAACAAACGAATGTGTGGGTTTAAAAATATTATATATTTGATTTTATGCGCGTGTGCTTGTGCATGTTTAATGTACAAATTAGCATTATAAAAACCATAATTTGTTTCACTGCTGCCACTTCGCGTATAAATTATCATTCATATTGCATATTGTTGTTTATCATTTCAACTCTTTCGTTGTATTTTTTCTTTTTTTTTTCAAACAAATAGTAAACTGTAATTGTTTTCACACTTTTTCCCCATTTGAATTAGTGTCATGAGTGGCACAATTGAATTACATGCAAATCGTTTATAGAGACACTGAGACACTTTTAGATTTATAGACGTGGATATGTATGAATATTCACATCTATTTGTTGCTTCTTTCGTTTGGTTGTAAATTATTTAATTTTTCCTGAGTCTATTTTTAAATTTTTGCTTGCTTTTAACAATGAATTTCTGTCTGACAATTTTACACCCAATTATCTCAGCACACAATTCGTTCAATGTCATAATTGACACTTTGGCGGTCAAGTTCGCGCGCCTATTTTACACTTTGCGCTTTCACATTACTCTTACGTTTACCTCTTGGGTATACTATATAGTGACCATATTAGAATCGTATGGGTGCATATGTTTCATTTTATTGCAGTATTTTGAGAACCAATTACAAATTGCCAGATAAATGGCATGCATTTCGTAAATCAATAACAAAGTCGAAACTCACACCGCCTAACCTGATTCTTCCACGAATTTCGCATTTTTGTATATATCTCGTAAATAACAAGAGCTATAGAAAAGATGTATATGACAAACTTGTACGAAATTGTTCAGATGGTCAAAATGTCGATAGTCGTGTATTTTCAATGGAAAATTTTTACATGGCTTGGTCCAGTCCTATTGTTAATATCGACGGCTCAAATTTTCAGAGATTTTTTTGGGTATTTCCAAGGAAATTTCATGACGGGATTGAAAACACTGAGTAGTTAAAAAAAAAACACCCTAGTGTATATACAGAGTGATCCATTTCGAAGTTCCCCACATTAAAAAAAAAAAAAAAAAAAAAAAAAAAAAAAAAAAAAAAAAAAAAAAAAAAAAAAAAAAAAACACACAAACTTCAAATTTTATGTGGGATGTATGTAATCATTCGAAAGGATATTCTTTGCCATTTATTTATTAAAGATTATCTCTTTCAATGTTGGCCGTGGTCTAACGGTGTGAAATCACGCGATCGACCGGCCCATAACGTGAAATTATCTGCTCGCCGAAGTGTTTTCTCATTATATTCATTAAATGATGCGATATGTGGGAAGTGGCGCCGTCTTGTTGAAACCAAATACCGCGGAGATCACGAGCTTCATTTTCGGGCCATTTACGATAACGTTCTTACCGGTATCAACTTTGAAGAAATAATGATCGATGATTCCACCGGCACACAAACCATACCAAACCTTTTCTTTGCCCATTGAGCTAGAAATGAGCCTTGGCTCGAGCACTTCGAGATCTTCATCAAAAATGTATTCGCAATTTCATTCGTTTTCATTATTAATTAAACGTCATTGGGCCACAACCACGCCTCCTTCCCATAATAAGAGACTTGTAACAAATTTCAAAAACAAAATTTCAGAAAGATCAAGTTAAAATATACCACTTGTCTTGCACGCGCCAAATATTTCATTCATAAATATTAGAAGGGGTTATATGTATATACTTGCATATATTTCAACATTTCCCCTCGCTTTTTTTATTATTATATAATATATTCGAAAACTTGTACCCACAAACAACTGCTTCGACTCTCATGGCTGCAGCTAAATATAAAACTACCCAATAAGAAAATATGAAGGTCAAGTAAAAGTTCTTTAAAAAGTTCAAAGCATTAATAAAGGCGTCAAGGCAGCAAGAGATTTCTCATTAGCGATTTTCTCACGAATACTTTTCCACAATTTTGAAAGCTTGAGCAATCAATAATCAGGCAATTATTACGCGAGCGGTGTTGGTAGATAAAGACTGCCGCACACACTTCAAAAAACTACCAGACAGGGCACTTTGCCAGCTCTAAATGATGCATGTGAGAGAAAATTTTGCTGTGCCACTTGTTAAAGTTCTTAAAAATACGAAGAATGACATAATTGTATTATTATTTTTTTAATGTTGCACATAATTAATTCTTGTATTTTTTTTTTTTTTTTGTTGAGAACACGGGTTTAACATTCTATTTATTTATTTTGACATAACGAATTTCTTTGCTGGATTTTTATAGCCTGAACAGGGTATATTAGGTTTGTCACGAAGTTTGTAACACCCAGAAGGAAGCGTCGGAGACCCTATAAAGTATATATCTAAATGATCAGTATGTTGAGCTGAGTCAATTTAGCCATGCCCGTCTGTCTGTCTGTCTGTCTGTCTGTATATAATACAAACTAGTCCCTCAATTTTTAAGATATCGTTTTGAAATTTTGCAAACGTCATTTTCTCTTCAAGAAGCTGCTCACTTGTCGGAACTGCCGATATCGGACCACTATAACATATAGCTGCCATACAAACTGAACGATCGGAATCAAGTTCTTGTATGGAAAGCTTTTGCATTTGACAAGATATACTCACGAAATTTGGCACGAATTATTTTCTAGAGCAACATTGTAACATCCGATGAAATTTTTCGCCTTACTATAGCGTATAGCTGCCATACAAACTGAACGATTGGAAAAAAGTCCTTGTATGGAAAACTTGCGCATTTGAGTGGTATCTTCACAAAATTTGATATGGATTACTGTTTAAGGTAATAATATAATATCCGCAAAAATTGTTCAGATCGGATTACTATAACATATAGCTTTCATATAAACTGAACACATAGTTACTAAAAGAAATACACCTGTGAAGGGTATATTAGCTTCGGTGCAGCCGAAGTTAACGTTTTTTCTTGTTTTCTTGTCTATGTGCAAACTTGTGTTTACGGATTTTTTTTCGAAATCCTTATGTAAATTTATTAAAACCATTTTTTTTTTTTTTTTGACTGTAAAAGTATAAATTAATTGATGGTTAATATAAATCTTTCTTTTTTTGCTTAAACCGAAGCGAAAACATTTTGATTGCCGTGTTCGAATGTATGATACTCTATTTTCCTGGTCAAATTCCGGAAAGTGCATTTTTGTACGAACAGTTTTTTCATCTTAGATATGCAGTAGGATGTACCGTACTTGGTACATTGAAATGAAAATTTTGGTTTGCCTTAAGTTGATGAAAATTAAAAGTCTCAATAATAGAATGGGTCTTTTAGATATTCATATTCTGATATCTCGAGATCCGCCCAACCGATTTCAACAGAATTGCGTACGTGATATTCTTATATTACAATGGGAAAATAAGTAAACTCGGACTACAGCCATGCTTCCATATAACACAATTTAACATTCAATTTGCAACTTTTATTCTCCAGTGTACAAATCAAGAAACAATTAATTGAACAGGATACAACTTTTCACGTAAATCAAACCAAACTGTTCAAGCGTCCCTAGGTACTAAATATGTGGGCTCAGTATTGCCATAAATTTAAAAATATACATATATAAGAAAATTCTAATGCTATAAATAAATAATATATATTGTTGATTTTTTTTTTACACCCGAAACGATGTATGTTTTCCGATAAGTGATTAATGGACTATAGCGATTAGATTAGCGCATTTTAAGTAAAATTATTTTTTCAACCAATATTTAACAGTAATATTGTTTATAGGTATAAATTTCTGTTAACTAATAATAATTCCGCCAAACCAATTCATATCAAATACTCGTATATATTGGTTGTCAAAAAAGTCTTGCGGTATTTTCGCTAGTTGGCGCTGAGAGCGCGTAGTTCTAGTTTTATTCGTCGCATCGGGTCATGCTATTCCTTTTTGGAAAGCTCATTTCACGCGTTAACAAGTGTTTGATTGATTGTCGTTTCTTTTAAGTCGTTCGTGAGTTATAGCGTCGCAAACATGGAAAAAAAAGAGAAAATACGGCATATTTTACAGTACTACTATGATAAAGGCAAAAATGCATCTCAAGCCGCCAATAAAATTTGTGCAGTTTATGGACCCGATACAGTTTCCATTTCCACGGCACAACGATGGTTTCAGCGTTTTCGTTCTGGTGTAGAGGTGGTCGAAGCTGTCCCACGCTCCGGAAGGCCTGTGGTCGAAAATTGCGATAAAATCGCTGAATTGGTCGAAACAGACCGACATAGTAGCAGCCGTAGCATCGGCCAAGAGCCGGGTATGAGCCATCAAAAAAAATTTTATGAACAATTGAAAATTCAATAAAAATACCGCAAAACTTTTTTGACAACCTAATATAAATATTTTTTTTTTTTTAAATTTGAAATCGCAACTAATTACGCTGTGCTCTACAAATTTTAATTCCAATTAAATAGTCCAACAATTCTAATTTGAATTAAGTAGTTATTGGAATTAAATAAATATATTTTAATCAGCAAAAAACGTGTGCGCCAGTGCACCGGCTTATTTGTTATACTTTATACTGTTTTTACTCGTCTATGTCTCAACTACACTATGTATGTGTTTGTCCAGTTATTTATGTGTCACCAAATGGCGATGAAGAAGGAAGCCAATGACAAATCGAAGGCCGCCGAACTTCGAAGAGCACAAATCGGTGTAAGTAAACGATAAATAACCGAAAGGTCTAAACCCAACGTTTCGTAATGTATAGTATGGTACTTCTAAACAAATTCGAATGAGCGTGTAAATTAAGAAATACCTTTAAAAAAGAAATTGTCTGGCTCCGAAAATACTGAAATTGCACGGATGTTGCTTAGTGTGCTTCAAAATACATATGTAGAGCAAATTTATATCTCGAAATTTTCAACGCATTTCATAATACTCAGCTAAAAGTCTTCAGTATGTAAAAACGCTTGTAACATATAAATATATTTATTAATCTCTCAAGAGCCCAATGTATTAACTAATCGCAAAATATCTGAGCTTATCAGTCAAACTTACCCGCCCGAATGTCGTAACAAATTTACTCGCCTATGCAAACCTAATTTATCCTGCTTCTTTGCAAAAAACGTGAAAAAATATTTCCAAAATTAAATTATCGGTATTTAAATGATATGTGTATATTTGTAATTAGATGGCGTGTAGTAAACTTAATTGCGTATAAGCATTGTAACCATCGGCTTTAACGGCTACTTAATTTTTTTAGGTTGGCGTACCAATTGTCTGGATTTTGGGCGGTCCCGGTTGCGGCAAAGGAACGCAATGCGCCAAAATTGTAGAAAAATATGGATTCACACACTTGAGCTCCGGTGATTTACTGCGCGCAGAGGTGATTATTCATAAAGATAATAAAAAAATAGTTGACTTCGTTTCACAAATTCGAGACAATGGAGAATCGAACAAACAACTGCTGTGAATACTTTCGACTATTGTAAACTGATACTTAGAAATATATAACACGCTTGAATGACGGATCAAAGAATATTTAATACAAACTCTCTGTTCATTATACAGGTGGCCTCTGGCTCCGATAAGGGTCGTGAATTGGCAGCTATCATGAAAGAGGGAAAATTGGTGCCAAACGAAGCTGTCTTATGCCTGCTAGCCAAAGCCATTGCCGATCACAAGTGCGACTCGAAGGGCTTTCTAATTGATGGGTGTGTGAATTTTTCCTTTTCCTCAATTTAAAAGTACTATTAATTCCTTTCGTTTATTATTTCCAGTTACCCACGCGAAAAGGATCAAGGCGCAGCTTTTGAACGTCAAATTGCACCAGCGGATCTGATTATCTACTTTGATTGTTCGGATGTAAGTACATAACAGTATTGATTTTATTGGGAATGTTTTCGAATAAAGTCATACATAATTTACATAAAAAGCATACCGACTTCTTTACCGGGATATTTGCTAGATGTTGTTAGAATTTTACTTGTCACGTAAACTTTTTAACATTTCCAGTTAGGGAAATTTTTCGAGGGGTTCGGAAAGGGGGAGAGAGATGTTAGATAAGAGTAGAGCATTCAAGAAAGTTGGTATATCATGCGCGTTCTCGTTGTGTGTAGGAAATAAGTTTGGTATTCCGGGATAGAGCGTGAATTAGTAGTTAATTTGATATATAATTTTCCGTAGTTCCTAGGTGGAATATACGGCCTTTGTTGAGTTCGGTTCCGGTAATTAGATGAGTAGGTGATTAGCCTTCTGCATCCGAGCCTAGTTCCGGGGCTGCCAGTTTCGCTCATGGCAGGCAAGGGCGTAGGAGTTTCCTCCTCGCAGGTGCTAAGGTTATAACGCCTTTACTCGGTTGTCAGAGCCTCGTTCGTAGTAAACGGGGGGTACCGCGCGAAGGTGAGGTTGACGTTTGGAAGGGATAGGCTATATATTCGCATCACGAACCCCATTTGCCCATTTTTGGTATTATAAAATCTTGCAGAGCCCACTTCTAAATTGTACTGGTCCTCGACGATATTACCAGCGCAATATAGTTTACGATCAGGCGGCCGATTGCTATTTATGTTGCCAACAATGTTTTCTTATCTTGCTACTGATTTGAGGAGCTTGTTTTAGAGATAATAGTGATAATTTCAATAATCAAGTATTGTAGTCTGTCAATTTACTTTATTTTCGCTCGACTTGTTTGTAGTCGGAATTTAAATTTTTTTCAGTTAATAAAAATGGTCATCGAGAATCTTAAGCTCTTTATGAGCGGGAAGTACTTATTTCGGGCCTAAAGCTATGACATCCAACATCAGTCTTAATAGAGGTTATAGAATGGAAATTGGTTTGTCATAAATCAGGTTGCTTCCCGAACTCGGAAATTTAAGATACGGTAAAAAGGTGTTCAATACGAAAGTACTGATATTGGTCCGTCTCAAAACTATGGATGCCTAAAATTTTTAACGTCACTTTGCAGTTGATTTTTCATTTCAGGATGTCAAAAAGCTATAAAATATCTAGGAAAATATAAAGAAATTGAAAATATTTTAATACCAATGATATCAAAAGTGAGCAAAACTCTCAATAAAAAATTAAAAAATTATGTTAGTCGTGGAACTGACCACATTTTACTGACAATTTTTGACAACTAAACACTTGATTCCCATAAAGTTATTAAACTTAACAAAACTAAATAACTCTAACATCGACAAAGATTTTGAAGCTTATGGGTATAGCTACCCAGATTTTATGCAACTTTCTACCATATCTGCTCAAGCTCTATAAATAAAACATATGTAGGCACATATATTTATGTCGTACGAGTTGTCCCATTCTTTTAGTTTTTTTGAACGCAGGAAGCAATCATATTACTTTTCATTTAAGAAATTTCAGAAAATTTAATTAAATTAAAAATAACTTATAATATGTAACAAATTACTAAACATTTGTTTATTATTTTTTATTTCAGGATGTTATGGTCCAACGTATAATGGGACGTGCGGCTGCTTCCACAGAAGTGCGTGCCGATGACAATGAGGAAACCATTAAGACTCGTCTGGCCACCTTCAGAACAAATACAAATGCCATTCTAACCCAATACATCGAGAAAACGATAACGGTAAGAGGCAGGCAAATACTGCGTCTGAAGAAAGTGATGAATACTTTTACCATAAATATAAAATATATTATCAAAATTAAAAGAAACTTTAATATTTATTTTCCTATTTGATTTGTCTTCTATTTCGATGTAGCTCAACGCCGAACGTTCCGCCGATGATATTTTCGTGGATGTGCAACGCGCTCTGGATTGTTTGATACAGAAGAAGGCGCAGGCGGTTGCATGCGCCTAATCAATGACTCACCAACAACCACAAAAACAAACATACATACAAATGTATATGCATCAATTATTTATTTTATAATTAATTTACGTGAATGCACCTAGATATAGATATTGTAGCACAATTCAAACACGCATACCTGTCTACAAATGATATTAGCTAATAATAAAAGCCAAAGAACAACAAAAAATACAGTATACCTTCAAGCTACTTAAACACCTTAAATGATATACAGCCAAGAAGAGTCGCTTAAGTCGCTTAAGCATAATAGCACATAATTCCCATACTTTGAGCGTTAGAGGAAGCAGCTGGCATTGCATTGCATCATAAGCGTGCAGAAAAATAATTTAAAATTGTAGTACAACAATAGGAGATCTTTAAGGGAAATACACATGTGCTTTAAAAAAATTATAATGTACTTTATTTACTTAATTCAATACACCAAAGAAATTACAAATTGTTACAAACAAAAGTAATTGTCGCAATAAAAACTTAAAACTATTGATTTTATTCAAATAAGTTTTAATTGTAAAAGTGATTGGGTTTTTTAGAGACTTATTAAAATACCGCTAGTTCCAAATTAATAATCGCAATTGGAAAAAAAAAAACCGTAAGAGGAAAGTATGAAAGTGAGCCGGATTGAAGGCTGTGGATTCTCCACTGCGCCATAGGGTTAGCGTTTGGCTGCCAACAGAACCTTTATCCAGACTCTCCGGTTTCAATCTAAAAACGTTTAAGAGGCTGAGGGGACGTATTAAGCCCAAAGGTGTAAAGCATTCTCGATTTGGACCTTTCTAGAAATTATGGGAACAATCCTGGACGGGTTTTGAGTTGAATGAAATATTAGAGACCTTATTTTTAGTCTTCTTTTCGATAGAGTGAAGGAGTAAGGTAGCGAACGTGCTCGACGAAATGTGAGTTCTTTCTTCATAGAGCTCGTCCGTCGACGATCTGCTCAAAAAACTTCAGCATTGCGACTGCCGGCTGATTGCCTATGCAGACGATGTAGCACTCATGATCAGAGGAAGGTTCTTGGCTACCGTATATAAGATGGCGCAAGGTATTTGAGCGTCATAACTGTTTGGGTAGGTGAGAGCGGCGTCGCCAGTAAACCAAATAAAATCGAGGTGATTTAATTTACCAGAAGATGAAAGATCCTGGAGTATTTATTGCCGCGGATGTAAAGTATCCGACTACAGCTTGCAGGTACGATGAAATATTTGAAGCTCGATATCGAGGTCAGAGTACGGAAGGCATTAACCGCCTTTTACTGCTTCAGATGAGCTATTGGTAAAAAGTGGGGTCTCTTACCGAAAGTAGTCTATTAACTCTACGACCCGTCGGTCAAAACTAATATGTTCTATGGGGTTTTTGTATGACCATTATGTATAAAAGTCCACACTTGCATGGAAGATCGAGAGAGTTCAACGAGTGCCGCTCATTAGCATGTATGGTGCAATAAGGCTCTTAATGCCATTTTACATATAATGCCCATAAATAACGCCGATAACTGTATGGGTGTGAAAGTAGCTATGAAACGTGGGTTTCTGAAATCCAAACTCAACTCTGTTGGCTTTTTCCTCTTCCCACATATCTTTGGCTACAGGTACTTGAGCTGTCGGAAGATTTGTCGATCCCTCAAAAGAGATGCTCTGACCTGAACTCTTTTCCCTCAGTGAGGTAGCCTTTCCCTGGAGTAGGATTGCTAACAGGCCATTAACCAATCGATACGCACTGCAAAGTTGAGAATATTACCGGATGCCAGCTGCATAAAAGAAGACGAGGTAGAAACATCTCATTACTTCCTTCAATATTGTCCCGTGTTTAAGAGATTAATCCTTAAACACTTGGGAGCTCACACTTTCAGGCAGATTTCCTTCGAGTTGGCGGAAATTTATATTGGCTTATATATATTATCTTATAAGATCGAATAAATCAAAAGCCAAAAATATATTCTGTTGCACCAAAAATGTAAAACAACCTTGTCAGGTGGAACACTTTTTTTGGGGAATTCCTAGGGTTAACAGAAGTAGATATATTGCAAGATTTCAAGTTTACAAAAAATTATTGACTACATTTTTTGTCTAATATAAATAAAGTATGTAAACATATCAGTCTAATAATGGGATACCCTATATATTTTAATTACTTTATGTTATATCCGCTACTGTAAATAAAATTTATGGCGTGATTTATGATCACAATGATCACGGGCACCTCCGATTACAAAAAGCAGTAATTGAGTGTGTCATTAGTGTCAGCTTAGACAGACTTACTTGGCTTCCGTTTGGTTAAAGGAAACATAAATTATTGCGGTGAAATTTATTTGCTTGTCAGTAAGTTTATTCAAATTTTGCTTTAAGAAAGACTTTCGTAATTAGAATTTCTTGATATAATTAATATTATACGCAATATAAAGTATTACTTGCTAGTATTACCGCTTAAATTGGAGTTTGTTAACCGAGTTGTATAATGCTCATATGCACATATGCACATAATTACATTACATATAAAAATATGTAAAAATATTCTTGCGAGGAAATGAAAAGGAAAGAATAGCAATAAAAATTCAGCAGTTCAGCCGAATTTGAATTGATGTCAGCTTTGCGGAATGCATTTATGAGAGCAAGTTTTCAAAAGCTCCTCTCAGCTGTGTATCCTACAATAACCGATTAACTTTATCATCAAAATAAATGATGTTGGAAAAGACTATGAGTCTTTCAAGTAGCAGGGTCTCATAACTAATCTCATGCAAAATATTCCATTAGAACGATATTAAAGAGCGCTAATCTGGTTATCATTCATTCACTATTATGACTATTATAAGTCATTGGGGGACTATCTAAAATACATTAAAAATAGACAGAAGTAGTATTCCAGTTCTTAGAACTTAGCATTGATTACGGTATTTTCTATTCCTATAGCCATTAAAGATTTCTGAAAACAACTTTCATTTATATCAAATATTGTAAAACTGACAATATTCTCTCAATTTACTGTGAATAAATTTTCAGAAACTATTAAAATATTCAATCAAATCGGTCTTTATAGTGTGGATGTCCCATAATTTCTTTGAAATTTATCAATTTTACTACTCAAGAAGATTGAATTCAAGAAGAAATAATTGATTTACCAACCCACCAAGCCACTGTGGGCAAAAAGTAAGAATTTTTAATAAAAAACAAAAAAAAAAAATTGAGGGAAAACCCATTAGACAAAATACTCTTTCTATGTTGGTATGACTGTCGGTGACATCTGTATCAAATGTCACATCAATATATTCAATAGTGTTTAGTATACGCTTGTCTTTATGAAGTACATAAAGTGCATTCGGCGATTTTTACGATTAGTGTAATTATTCAAAAAGGAAGTTTCATTAAAATTTCTGGTGCCGAAACGTTCATGATGTTGGGAAAAGCATTCAGTGATAACTAACTGAGGGCCTTTTCCAACATTCATCGCTCTCATTGTCGCGAGCAAGTGTTTTTGATTGGTACAATTTATTCAAGGAGGGTCGAGAACTCGTTGACGACGAACATCGGACGGCCATCGACATCAACTGATAGCAACACGTCAGTCAAAATAAAGGAAGGCTTGAGAATCGACGACTAACAGACAGAAATCTCGATGGCATTGTTGGAATATCGGTGAGAACTATTTTAAAAGATCACTTGGGCTTAGGAAAAGTGAAAGCAAGATTGGTTCCAAAGTAACTCAATTTTTTCTACAGCGTCGCGTTAACATCTCTGAAAGAATGCTTTCCAACTGCCAGAATGTCATGAAACGTATTATTAATGGCGATGGGTCTTGGATCTATGGTTCCGACTTAGAAGCAGACGATCAATCGACCGAATATGGTTGCAAAGGTGAGCCGAAGCCAAAAACAGCACTTCAAAGCAGGTCAAAAATCAAGGTTTTGTTGACAGTTTTCCGGCTTCGATTATCGTGTTGTAACTCCGAATTCCTTCCAACTTGCCAAACTGGGAATATTATTTGAGTGTCCTGCTTTTTTTGCGCGAAGCTACTCGTAAAAAGAGTCCGGATTTATGTGCCGACAACTCTTGATTTTTGCACCACGTTATTGCACCGTCGCATACTGCATGGACGCTTGTTCAACCAATATCGTACCGCATTCGCCTGATTTAACCCTATATGACTTCTTGTTATTCAGCAAATTCAAACGAAAGCTCCGGGGAAAGCGTTGTGAGTCAATTGAAGCCAATAAACGCTAAGCGGTTTGAAGGCTTCTCCGGAAAGAGACTTTCACAACTGTTTCGAGGTTCGCCAATAAGTTGGCACAAGTGTATTTTGGCCAATAGAATTTTTTATTTTATATATTTACGTATAACGTAAACTCTGCTTATGTGTATATTATATACTCGTTAATTGAGAAATCCTTCAAATCAAACATACTTATTAGCGTAACAAGTTCGACTTTAATTAAACATGCTAAGGTGATTATGACTAAAGTAAATGCTCAGCTACTGTGAATAGCATTAATGGTACAGAAAATAAGTATTATTTTAATAATATTTATACAACGTAAAAAAATTGATTGATGAAAGAATTGAATACCGCTTGGATTATAATTAAAATATGCAAGTGCTTAGGATTACATGCATATATAGCTAAATACACAAATATATACCATAGCCCGATTTGTATACATTGCAAAAATTAGAGAAAAACACACTTTACCTTTCTCAATTAGCTGTCAAATGTTATCTACTTGAACAGGTGGTCTTTGGCCCCTTTTTATTGCACAAACCGCAGTCTTAATAGCTTTCAACTCTATGGCTTAATATTAGTAATTGTATTGTAAGTATTAATATGAGGTTTTTATTTGAAGCTATAGCATTGGGGGGTGCTAAACTATTGTGACGAGGAACAAAAACAATTCAATGCAATTGTTTAAAATTGCACAAAACAGTCCTTGGCATAGAAATATATTCAAAGCTTAAAAAAGCACACACCTTTTAATTTAATTTTAAATTAACTTGTCCCCTGATTATGACAATTTATGCATCATTTGGCAAAAGAAAATCAAGTAAGCACCAAAAGGGCTTTAAGAACCAAATCATACACGTGTATATTTCAAACAACCGATTTTTGTTTCGCATATATATCGAAATAGACATATTTGAAAACATTTTCTGAAAGTTTCTAGTTGATCGGCTAACAGTTTGTATTTAAAAAAAATGTCGACGAAATAGTTGCTCCGATCG